AAGAAGGAACAGAGGCCAGCGCCGCAGCTCACTAGGCTAATCCTCCGCCTTGTGACGCCGGCACACCGGGTTCTAGTCCCGGTTGAGGTGCCGGATTCTGTCCCGGTTGCTCCTCTTCCAGGCCAGCTCTCTGCTGTGGCCTGAGAGTGCAGTGGAGGATGGCCCAAGTGCTTGGGCCCTGCACCCCATGGGAGACCAGGAGAAGTACCTGGCTCTTGCCATCGGATCAGCGCGGTGTGCCGGCCGCAGTGCGCCGGCCGCGGCGGCCATTGGAGGGTGAACCAACGGCAAAGGAAGACCTTTCTCTCTGTCTCTCTCTCTCACTGTCCACTCTGCCTGTTAAAAAAAAAAAAAAAAAAGAAACCGTGTTCTGTTCCTTTTTTTTTTTTTTTTTTTTTTTTTGACAGGCAGAGTGGACAGTGAGAGAGAGAGACAGAGAGAAAGGTCTTCCTTTTGCCGTTGGTTCACCCTCCAATGGCCACCATGGCTGGCGCGCTGCGGCCGGCACACCGCGCTGATCCGATGGCAGGAGCCAGGAGCCAGGTGCTTTTCCTGGTCTCCCATGGGGTGCAGGGCCCAAGCACCTGGGCCATCCTCCACTGCACTCCCTGGCCACAGCAGAGAGCTGGCCTGGAAGAGGGGCAACCGGGACAGAATCTGGTGCCCCAACCGGGACTAGAACCCGGTGTGCCGGCGCCGCTAGGCGGAGGATTAGCCTAGTGAGCCGCGGCGCCGGCCAGAATACGGTTTTTAAGTGTTCAGCCTTCATCCTGATGAGTGCTTTGCCCTCCCTGATGCTCTTGGCCAGGGTGGACAGGTCTGTCTGGGAGCCAGGTGAAGGATGCTCATTGTGTTTGCTCCTCGGCGGCAGAGGGGCACTTGCCATGGGTCCTGGAGCTACCGAGACCCTACAAAAGACACTGATTCCCGAAATGTGGCTGGCAGATGAGTGAGTGAAGTTGTACATTTAAAATTTGAGAAAGGTGGCTTCAATTCTGTTGGGGAAAGGTGGGATTTTTTTTTTTAAGATTTATTCATTTATTTGAAAGGCAGAGTGACAGAGAGAGATGGAGAGAAAGAGAATCTTCCATCTGCTGCTTCAATCCCCAAATGCCCGCAACAGCCAGATCTGGACCAGGCTGGAGTCAGGAGCCTAGAACTCCATCCTGGTACCGCATGTGGGTTTAGGGACCCAGGTGTCCAGGCTATTTTCTGCTACCTCCCAGACACATAAGCAAGAAGATGGGTCAGAAGCAGAGGAGCCAAGACTGGATCCAGCAGTCTGATAAGGAATGCAGATGTTGCAAGTGGTGGCTTAACCTGTTGCACCACAATGCCTGCCCCAGGATGAATTAAGACAAGAAAAACTGGTGTTGGGTCCATTGGCTCTTTAAGAATGGAAAAAATGAAGTCAGATCCTTGTCTCATACCTAAAAAAAATGGGTTCCAGATAAGATTAGGAATGAAGTTATCTAAGTACTGGAAGAAAAGAGAACACACTATTTTTGAGGTCTTGGAGTAGGGAAGGCCTTCCTAGTCAAGACAGAAGATTCAATTACACAAAAACACCAGTCAACCCTCTGTACTACTGCAAATCTAAGCCTGTCCTACAATCTCAAATTTATAGAAAGTGGTTTTGAAAATATCCAGTTCAGGGGTGGACATTTGGTATGGAGGTTAGGATGCTGTGTGGGACACCTGGGACCAGCCCAAGGTGTTTGGACTTGGCTATGTATTGGACTACCTAGGTTTGAGTCCCCACTCCTCTGCTTCCGGTCCAGGTTCCTGCTAAGGTGCACTCTGGAAGACAGCAAGTAATGATTCAAGTACTTGAGCCCCTGTCACCCTTGCAGGAGAACTGGATTAAGATTTGGGCTCCGGCCGGCGCCGCGACTCAGTAGGCTCCACCTAGCGGCGCCGGCACATCAGGTTCTAGTCCCAGTCGGGGCGCCAGATTCTGTCCCGGTTGCCCCTCTTCCAGGCCAGCTCTCTGCTGTGGCCCGGGAAGGCAGTGGAGGATGGCCCAAGTGCTTGGGCCCTGCACCCCATGGGAGACCAGGAGAAGCACCTGGCTCCTGGCTTCGGATCAGTGCGGTGCGCCAGTCGCAGCGTGCCGTGGCAGCCATTGGAGGGTGAACCAACGGCAAAAAAGGAAGACCTTTCTCTTCTGCCTCTCTGTAATTCTGCCTTTCAAATAAATAAATAAATAAATAAATCTTTAAAAAAAAAACTTGAGCTCCTGGCTTTGGCTTGGTTCAGCTATAGTGGTTACAGACATTTGGAGAATGAACTAGCACATGGAAGATCTCTTTTTTTTTTTTTTTTTTGACTTATTTATTTATCTGAAAGTCAGACTTAGAGAGAGAGAGATATCTTCCATCTGCTGGTTTATACCCCAGATGGCTACATCAGCCAGGGCTGAGCCAGGCTGAGGTCAGGAGCCAAGAACTTCATCTGGGTCTCCCACGTGAGCACAGGGGCCCAAACAACAGGGCCATCTTCCATTGCTTTTCCCAAGGCATATTAGTAGGGAGCTGGATCGAAAGTAGAGCCGCCAGACTCCAAATGACGGGGATGGTGGAATTGCAGGTGGCAGCTTTAGCTGCTACACCACAGCACTGGCCCGCTCTGTCTTTATATCTCTCTTTCTGTCTCTCTGCCTTTAAACAAAATGAAAATGAACAATTAAAAAAATTCAGTTCAGTGAAAGATACCACACATAAAGATTTGAAAAGGACAATTTACAACCTTAGGAAAAAACTGTTTGCAGCATATACTTGTATAATAAACAAAACGTAAATCAATACAGTTAATGAGGAGATAAATTACCTGATATAAAAACAGGTAAGAAACACCAAAAGGTAATTTATAGTAAGGAAACACAAAAGGCCATTAAATACAGGGAAAGATGTTCGATTCCACTGGCAACCAGGGGAATGAAAATCAGAACCACGGGATGACACTTCCCACCCTCCAGATCAGCTAAAACTACAAAACAACACAAAACAAGGCTACTCGAGTTAATGACGGTGTGGAGAAACAGGCGTTCTCATAACCACTGGGGTATATTAACCTGGCTACGTTTTTAGAGGTGCAGTTTTAGGACCACAGTATCACTTCAGGAAGTTGATCCTATGGAAACCTCGCATCAATGTCCAAGGCCAACCCACAGAGATGGTGGGTGAGCGTCAGGTATCTGGGGACCTGTTCCACTGGGAACAGGTTTACTGTATAGCTATGGATACAGATACAGGGATGTGGGGGGGGGGGGGGGGAGGAAGAGAGGAAAGTAACCACAAACGACGTGGCCTGCTTGGAGTAAATGGGGAATGGAGGCAGATGACAGGGCCTTGGGGTCAGCCTAAGGCGTTTGGACTTAGCGGGGAGCAAAGCGAGGCAAGACATGGTAATCTCAGTATCTGCAGACCAGACGGGGTGGGGAGGGGGAGAAACAGAACACCTCTGCTGCCCAGCAGGTGAGGCCGTGAAGTGGAAGCAGGAGGGGTTGGGGAGGAGGCGACTGATGGCATATGACCCGGACAAAGCACCCGCCAATGGAGCTGACCTAAGGACGGATTTAAGATTCAGAGTTCAGAAAGCTGAAAGAGCAGGACTGAGGCTGGAAGGTAAAAGAGGCGGGGATGGGCCAGCGCCATGGCTCACTAGGCTAATCCTCCGCCTTGCGGCACCAGCACACCGGGTTCTAGTCCCGGTCGGGGCACCGGATTCTGTCCCGGTTGCCCCTCTTCCAGGCCAGCTCTCTGCTGTGGCCCAGGAGTGCAGTGGAGGATGGCCCAAGTGCTTGGGCCCTGCACCCCATGGGAGACCAGGAGAAGCACCTGGCTCCTGGCTTCGGATCAATGCTATGCGGCCACTGGAGGGTGAACCAACGGCAAAAGGAAGACCTTTCTCTCTGTCTCTCTCTCTCTCACTGTCCACTCTACCTGTCAAAAATTAAAAAAAAAAAAAAAGAGGCGGGGATGGAAGAACCCTTTAGGACTGCAGTTTCCAGCTTGGGCAATGGAGGGGATACAGGGAGGCAGAGGCCAGCAATTGGAAACAGCCAGGTGTCCGGGCTGAATGGAGATGGAGTCCTCTGAGGCACCCACAGGCCTTGGCCAGAAGCTCATTCTTTCGAATCCAGAGCAAAAACCTCCTTCTGGGAGGAAGGCCTAAAGCGCCCCTATAGGAGGACGCAGCATGACTGTACTTGACTTTCTCAGTCACTGCGTACTTCCCTGGTTGGGCCTTGGGGTGAGAGGTGGGATCAAACGCTAAGCCTGCTACAGGCAGCCACCCGTGGCAGGGGCCCAGTGCAGGGTAACAGCCGGAGGCTTGGGTGGGAAGGGGAATCTTCCTAGGAGAACAGCAAATGGCTGGGCCCAGAGAGCAGAGGGGATGGGAACTCCCTGCGGCCATGGAGATGGAGATGGAGAGCCAAGCCCAGCCAATGGGCCTTGTCTCCGGCTGGGCTGAGTTTGTTTGTATGTTCACCTTGCCCACCATTTGAAAAGCACTTGCAAAGTGCCAATCTTGTGCCAGGCACTGTTCTTCTGCACCTGGGGTGACCCCGACAAGTTACCTCCTCTGGTGGAGGTGACTCAGAGGAGCGAGGCAGTCATAAACGGGTGAAGAAATAGTAAGACGACTCCTGGCAGAGATAAATGCCGCGCAGAAAATAATAAACGGAGGGTGTGGGAGGGGACGGGAGGAGCAGGACCAGCTGAAGTCGGAGTAGAAAGCCACCGCAGAGCTTGGGTGGGGGGAGCCGAAGAATGGAGGGCGGGGCACTGCAGGCAGAGGCTAATTGCACAAGGCAATTGTTTTGCTAATAAGAACATGTTAGGAAAATTAGGCATTTTTTTTCATTTGTAAAGAACTCATTAGTGAGTTGTATTTTTAGTTCTTCCTTCTGGGGCTTGGAAATCCGAGTGCGGAGGTTTGCTGGGGCTGGGGCTGGGCCTAACTGTCTGAGAGAGGAGGCACACTGAAGCACCCACCTGCTCCTGGAGGTCACTTCCAGGAAGAACTGCACGAGTGCCAGCAGGTTGTGATGGTGGTCGGACACCCAGCTCAGGGCACAGCACAGCTGCTGCAGCTACACGGGGTACACAGGTGGGCTGTGGAGGAAGCCCCTGACCACGCCTGCCCGACAGCCTACCCCATGGCCTGCCCACAACCTGCCCACAGAGGAGGCCAGGGACACAGCGGATGACCTCCACGCAGTGCTGCCCACCCCAGCCCTGTCCCCCTGGTGCTCTGGGGGGTGCCCTTGTTCCCTAGGGGCTGGCCTGCATGATACCTTCCCTGGCCAGTCTTGGATGTTCTCCAGGAGCAAGAGCAGGAGCTGCTGGAGGTCCGTCTTGGGCAGCAGGCGCAGCCCCACGTCCAGGCCAGTGCGGCACAGCTGCTCGATCAAGCCAAGGAGGTTCCCGTCTGTGTAGGCCCCCGGCCGGGCAAGGGCGCACAGGGTCAGGATCTGGGGAGCACAGGGAGAACTGAGTTATCCGCGGCCGTGTTAGGGAGGGGTGGGAGAGAGGGAGTCAGGTGCATGAGAGGGACGGCACCGTGGGCCCCTTGGGCTGCGCCAGGTAGGAGCGGAGAGCGTGAGAATTGAGCAGCGAGGCCAGGGTCTGTGGGTCCGGCCCCTTGTGGGTCTGGAGGTGGTAGGTGCAGCCTGGGGAGTAGGCTGGCCGGGGCCTCGGCCCAGTGCTGGGCTTGTGATGGTGTTGAGCTCAGCAGCTCCCTGCCACTCACTGGATCAGACTGCGGAACAGGTCTGCCCTGTGCACCCAGGTTGCTCTGGGGCACGGAAGGCCCCCGACTCACCTTATAGATGTAGCTCAGACTTATGTCCAAGGCCGACTGCTGAGGGGAGTCCACCTGCCAGTCCAAGCCAGCCTCATTTTCAGTTACCCTGAGGTCCAGACAAAAGCAAAAACAACAGATGACTAGGAAATAAGAGGAGGAGGCACAGGGGAGGACAAAGAGAGAGAGGGAGACCTTCCCTTGCCCCAGAACAGGGCTCATAGCAACCTGTTCAGCTGAGGACACTCCCACCTGTGCACTGGCCACCTACTAAGGTCTCACAAAGCACCCCAAAGTGTAGTGGCTTAAAAACAATGTCAATTGTCTCATGCAGCTGTTAGGGGTCAAGAATCTAGAGGCAGGGGCCTGTGTTGCTGCCACCTACAATGCTAGCACCCCACACTGGAGTGCTGACTCAAGTCCTGGTCACTCTGCTTGATTCAGTTTCTTGCTAACGTGCCTGGGAAAGTAGCAGAAGGTGGTTCTGCCACCCACGTGGGAGACTGGGATGGAATCCCTGGCTCCTGGCTTTGGCCTGTCCAACCATGGCTGATGCAGCTATTTGGGGAGTGATCCAGCAGATGGAAGAGTTCTCTCTTTCTCCCTCTCTTTGTCATTTTGCCTTTAAAATAAATAAATCTTCAAAAAAAAAAAAATCTAGAGACAGCTTAGCTGAGTGGGTCTGGCCTAGGGTATTTTGGGAATTGTCTCTGAACTACTGGACAGGGCTATAGTCAATCTCAGGCCTGGTTGGACTGGGAGACTTGCCTCTGAGCTCACTCACATGGGCATTGAGTGCCAGGCCCCAGTTCCTCGGCATATGGGCCTTTCTAAACGGCTCTGGATATGGATGGCAGCTGGCTTCCCAGAGCTAGAGAACTGAGACCACACAGCAGGGAGACCGAGGCAGAGCTGCAGCATTTCATGGCCTAATCTCGGATGTTCCAACCCATCACCTCTGCTGACTTCTATTGGTTACACAGGCTAGCCTGACTTCAGGTGGGAGGGGGCTACACAAGGGTGTGGCCCCAGGAGATGGGAAATTTTTTTTCTAAAGATTTACTTTATTTAACTGGAAGGCAGAGTTATGGTGGGGTGGGGGGATACATAGAGAGAGCTTCCATTCGCTGGTTCACTAGCCACAACAGCTGTGGGCTGGGCCAGGCTGAAGCCAGGAGCTTCTTCCAGGTCTTTCATGTGGGTGCAGGGGCCCAAGGACTTGGGCCATCTTCTGGTGCTTTCCTGGGAGCATTAGCAGGGAGCTGGATTGGAAGTAGAGCAGCTGGGACTTGAACCGGTGCCCATATGGGACGCCAGCACTGCAGGTGGAGCACTGCACACTGGCTCCAGGAGGTGGGCATTAATAGGGGAGGGGAAGTATCCTGGGAAATGGCTCCCACACGCTGCCATTTAGGTGCAGTCTCCAGCCTCAGTTTTCCGGGACTTGGACACCAAAGAGTCACACCTCCAAGCTCCCCAAATGGTCTTCCTCCAAAGAGTTCTCTGTGTGTGTGTGTAATGATGGTGTCTATCCCTCTGCGTGCTGAGAAGTATGTCCCGTGCGGCGAGTTTCTAAAGCCAGTCAGTAAGGCAAAAATTAGCATCCAAAACCCTCTTGAAAACCCCCTCCAGGGTGGGTGCGAGCTGGGGCTAATGGGTTGTCTACTGACAAGTGCAGAAAGGCAAATTTCCCTAGTGATGGATTCAGCCTGGCGAGGCACCGGCTGAAGCTGGAGGCCGGGAACATGTGAAGAAATCTCTTTAAAGCTCTCAGACTTGGGGCGACAGGATGAGCAGTCAGGGGAGGGAAGGAGCGGACGGCAGTCACAGCTCCATTGCTGCAGTTTTTGGCACACGCTCACCGGCCAGAAGGCTGAGCTGGATCACCCACCCTGAATGGTCCTCTCTCTGGTTAAATGCACCTTGCTGACTTCACATACGTGAAGTGGGTTTCTGGCAAGGCTCCCCTTTGCTGTCTCATCTGCTTCTCTACTCTTAGGAACTAGTCTAGAGTTCCCGATCACAGAGGCTCTCAGTAAATGAAAACGCTGATGATGACAACCACACTGTCGACAATGACAGGCTCGGGTGCAGCCGCCCAGGCCACGGCCATGCACAGGGCTACTCCTGCTGCTCCAGGGGGAAGCCTCTGTTCTTCAATTGTGCTGCTTCTCAGAGGGGAAGGGGGAGAACGTTGTCTCCTGGCACCAGGGAAGCTGCAGCTAACAAACCTAAGGTGGTGGCAAGCAAGAGGCAGCAGGAGGATGGTGCTGGCTCAGCCCTTCTTTCAGATTTTGATTTTTCTGGCATTTATTAGGCCAGAGAATGGGTGAGGCTGGCCTTTGAGCATCTGGGGGAGGTCTGGCTCGTACCAGCCTGTGAGCCTGCACCGGCTTCACCAGCATGGGTGGGCATGTTTTCCCGATTTCCCAAAGGGTGGAGTTGCTGCCGAGTTGACTTAGCGCATCTGCTGAAGAGACATGGGCTTCCAGACAGTTCAGTGCTGCCAGAGGGAGGAGGAATGCAGGAAGTGTGAGCTGGTGATGCGTCTTCTCCAGGTTGGGGAGGGGAAGTGTGCCTGCTGGGAGAGCCAGCCTTCCTGGGTGGAGGGGGCAGGCGGCCGCCCAGGGAGCTGCTGAAATCCCCTGGCCCACGTCCCCCTGGGGACAGCAGGGAAACAGGCAACAAAATGGGGGTCCTCTATGCCTTGTCCTTCTCAGGAATCATGCGCCTAAGCAACTGGTGTCTGTGACTGCTATCCTGAGACACAGCACCAGCCAGCCTCCGGGACTCCACCACTCTCACGTCCCGTGAGAGGAGCATGGGAATTCACAGCCTGTCAACCCCTGCTCCTCTCCTGGACTCAGCAGGTTAAGAGCGAGCCCCCGTCCCCAGTCCCAGCTTCTTGGGACAAGGTTCCCAGTCTGCAGACTGGGGTCTCAGCAACACTTACTAAGTCACTCATCTCACGATCACTTGCACATCACTGCCCTGTACCTAGGTTTCTGTATTTGTTTTCCTCGAGTTGAACAAAAGAATCAACTTTCTATCTGTACGGTGCTCCCACATTCTTGGGAGGGAAGATGCCACCCTATAGCTGAGAGCCCTCTGAAGGCACCCAGTGGCCAGGTGCCCCGCCATGCTGGCTGTATGCTGGCACCAAACAGGGTACTTTTCCTTAGGCCTGTGCCACTCAACCAAACCACACCTGTCATCTCAGCTCTATACAGCAGCAAAGTCAACAAAGAGAACCAACGCTCCATCAATGGAAGGAGAGAGAGGCAAATTTTACTGGTTCCAATTACACTGTCTGAGGATGGCCAATCACCATCTGTCCCCATGCTTCATGAGTGCCATTTTTTGTTTTTAGAGGTTTATATATTTATTTGAAAGGCAGAGTTATATAAAGAGAGAGAGAATGAGAGAAAGAGATGGGGGTGAGGGGGAAGACACAGAGACATAGAGAGATCTTCCATCTGCTGGTTCACAAACCCAGATGGCTACAACGGCCAGCGCTGGGCCAGGCTGAAGACAGAAGCTTCATCCGGGTCTCCTATGTGGGTGGCAGGGATCCAAACACTTGGACCATCTTCCAGTGCTTTCCCCAGGCCATTAGTAGAGATGCTGGATTGGAAATGGGGCAGCCAGGACACAAATCAGCACCCATTTGGGATGCCAGCTTTACCCACTATGCCACGCCATACCACTGGCCCCTGCAGGGTGCCCTTTCAATGTATTAATTATCATTAATTTATCTGCTTGGCTTGTGCACAGGGTTGCCTCTTCTTTTTTCTTTTTTTACTTGGAAGGCAGAGTTGGAGAGGGAGAGAGAGAGAGAGGTATCTTCCATCTACTGGTTCACTCCCCAGATAGCTGCAATGGCCGTAACTGAGCCGATCCGGAAACCAGGAGCCAGGAGTTCCTTCTGGGTCTCCCAGGCAGGTGCAGGGAGCCAAGGACTTGGGCCATTTTCTACTGCTTTCCCAGGCCATACCAGAGAGCTGGATCAGAAGTGGAATGGTTGGGACTAGAACCGGCGCCCATATGGGATGCGGGTGCCACCGGCAGCGGCTTTACCTGCTTTGTCACTGGCGCCGGCCCCCAAGGCTGGATTTCTGAGCAGAACTCTTCAGCTGGGCTTTGTGATCAGGGAGCAGCCACGGCTACCAAGACTCGGCCCTGTGCTGCCTGATAAGACTGGAGCCCCTGACAAAGCTGATCTGTATCGTGGAGTGGGCACACGCCCCCTCCAAGGGTACTGACGCTCTCTCTGCTGCTCTCCATTCAGGCTCACACCTTGGTCCCTCCTCCCCTGCCCTTTCATCCCCAGCCTCAGCACTGGGCAAGGAGCCTCTCTGTTTTCATTTCGGGGGGACTCCGGATGGTCCCCTTGGTCTGGCTGCATTTAGGATGGTGCCTTTAGGAAATCTTGAAGCCCCTTTCCAGTGAGAGATGGTGGTGAATTTTAATGAAATCTGAGATTAGGAACAACAGGGTAAAGCAGGATCTTTTTTGGAATAAGAGAAGAGACAGCCAAGTTGTGAAGCCATGCATAGAGGCTTCTCAACCCCTGGTTTCCAGCCTTGGCCATGATGAGACTGAGGGTGCCCCCTCCATCCTGCCAAACGAGCCCTAGACTGGCGCATCCCTGAAGACAGCAGAAAAGATATTTGCCTGCCGTGGAGTCAACTGGCTAGGGACAAGCCTCTAAGTGTGGTCAAGAACAGGAGGCCTGGGCCGGTACCGTGGCTCACTTTAATCCTCCGCCTGCGGCGCCGGCATCCCATATGGGGCTGGGTTCTAGTCCTGGTTGCTCCTCTTCCAGGCCAGCTCTCTGCTGTGGCCCGGGAGTGCAATGGAGGATGGCCCAAGTGCTTGGGCCCTGCACCCGCATGGGAGACCAGGAGAAGCACCTGGCTCCTGGCTTCAGATCAGTGCAGCGCCGGCCATATCGGCCATTTTGGGAGTGAACCAATGGAAGGAACACCTTTCCCTCTGTCTCTCTCACTGTTTATAACTCTACCTGTCCAAAAAAAAAAAAAAAAAAAAAGAAAAGGAGGCCTGCCCATACAGCCAGGAAAGACATCCGCCCCTGGGGAGGAGATGCCAGAACCTTCCTGAATCCTCTGGAGGAGTCGTCCTCCAACCTCACGATGCCCAGGGTTTCCCTAAGTGCAGCAGTAGCCAGTGGGCAGCCCAAGGAACCGTCGCGGGCTTTTCTTCCGTCACCCACCCACGGGGTCTCCAGCCTGCCCTTCCAGTAGAGGAACAGCCCTTGCAGCCGTCAGCTGGATCCCCCCTTCAGAAGGGTCCAAGGGAAGAGGGCCTGTCTGGCAATGCAGCCATGTGGCGCTGGCAGCTCTCGGGCCCTGCCCCAGGACAGCGGGGCTCTGCTCCTCCCACACAGGGTTTAACTGCGCCTGGCAGAGCTGAAGTCTGCATGCTGGAGTTTGTGTGCCCCAGCACTTGCTGGTTAAAGGGCCCACTGCTCCCTGCTGCCTCCAGAGACAGCAGATTTGCTGCTTGAAGGGCAGGAAGCAGTCACATCTTGGGGAGAACTGGGAAGGGAGGGAGAGGGGGATTCTGCAGAGCGGAGTGTAGTCCGGGGGGTAACAGGCCCCCGTGCCACCTCCCACTTCCCAGGTGGGCACAAGTGCTCTGAGGAGCAGTCAGAAGCGGCTCCTCTACATCCCACTCCTCTTTTAATTGCCAGCTCCCACCCTACCCTGCCGCCCCGTCCTCCTCCTCCCTTCCCCGACATGCATTTGTTTTTCTGAAAAGCCTGGCTCTTCCTCCATTCATCAGCGATGGTGGTGTGGCCAAAGCTCAGGGGTAGGCAGAGGCAAGTGGCCTATTGCACCAGAGCTGGAGCCCGAGCTGCAGGAGGCGGCAGGCTGGCACATGCGGGGGTATTTATAGCAGAGCCGGTGCGGTTTGGTTTGGCAGACAATTACTAAACACAGTCGTGGAACAGGTTCTCAGGGAAGTGCCGGGCTCTTCCTGCACAGGGCAAGGGAAAGATGTCGGGGGGTGGGGAGGGGGGCCTCCGTAACCGCCCGTCCAGGTCTCTAAACCTTCAGTTATATCTCAATCCAAAGAGCTTGGATGTGCTGTAATTTGTAGAACAAGATGATGCTATCTAACACGTTTATGACCGAGACCTAGTCGCTGTGCACCTGACAATAGTGACTTGCATACCAGCACTGCATGGCTCTGTCCCCTGCGGGCAGGGACAGCACATGGGTGAACTACACCGCTGTTCTCCACCACGGCCGGACCCAGCTCGGGCACTCAGGAAGCGCTCACCAAGTGCATAACTGAGCATCGTAGAAATTATGTGGCAAACGCAGCTCTGTGGCTCGCGAGCTGGTGTTAGGTGATGGGCTTGAGGAGAGACCACGGGTACTACAGCATGTCCGGGAGGATGCTAACCAGGCTGAGAAATCTGCACTCTGCCAGGGAGGAGGGGGCAGCAGGGCTCTGAGTGGTAGAAACAGAGGCTGTCAGATGGACTGGCAAGGCACACCCACCCCTGCATCTTCCTGCCGGTCCCAAGACTGTGAGCATGGATGCTCACACGCCAATCACGGTGCGACATGTGCATTCCCAGGCGTGCGTGGCTGTTCTGTGGCTCCCTGCCACGTGGGCTGGAGCCCGAATCTGGGAAGTGAGTGTTGGACCCCAGGGGAGGAGGGGAGGTACTCACCGGTCACCGTGTTGGCAGGGCCCCAGCGGGTACAGTGCAGGGCAGTAGGCTCCCAGACTGTAGAACACCTCCATGACCTCCTGCAGCGATGGGTACCACAAGTACATTTCTTCATCTGCAAGGCCACAGCAGGACAGGGAGTTAGGGCAGGGAGGGGAGGACAGGACGCACTGCTCCCAGGACAAACCCCTGCCCAAGGCCACTGTTTTGGCATTTGCTGGCACCCCCATAGGTGTTATCTGGAGGAACAAAGCAGTCGGCTGTTTTCAGATGCTTGCTGGAGCTTCCAGAGCCTGGGGGCCTTCTCATTTTTTTTTAAAAAAAGACTTATTTATTTGAAAGGCAGAGTTACACACACACACACACACACACACACACACACACACACGGGGCGGGGGAGAGAGAGAGAATCTTCCATCCGCTGGTTTACTCTCTAAATAGCTGCAACAGCCGGAGCTGGGCTAATCAGAAGCCAGGAGCCAGGAGCTTCTTCTGTGTCTCCCACATGGGTGTAGGGGCCCAAGGACTTGAGCCATCTTCTGCTGCTTTCCCAGGCTCATCAGCAGGGAGCTGGATTAGAAGTGGAGCAGCCCGGACTTGAACCGGCACCCATATGGGATGCCGGCACTGCAGATGGCAGCTTTACCTGTTACACCACAGCGCTGGCCCTGGGGCCTTCCCTTATTCTGTCTTCAAGGTCTGGCTGCACTGAAGTAGAAGGGTCCAAGGATGACCAGGCCCTTGACCATCCACAGTGGCCAGCAACCAGGGGGCTCAGCTGCCCATGGCTAAGCAGCATGAAGAGTCCAGAACCAAACGTTCCCAAACTGTGCAACTCAGAAGATGCCGGCCTCAGCACTGCAGGGCCCTCTGCCACGAGGTGTGAGCCTGGGATGGCCTCGTCACCACGCCTGCTGCAGCATCCAGGTGTGCCCCCGACCTCCGTCCCTGCCAGGGGTGCACGTGCTCCCCTCTGCAGCCTGGGACCACCCTCTCAGCAAGTGTGACTTACAGGCACCAGCCTCCCTTGGCCAATTAAACAAATGTGAATGATAATCCGATGACATCAACTAAGAGGAGACACTGCACGACTCAGGGTATCTTCACAACCAGGAGAGGAGGAAAATAAAAAACAACGTGGAATGTAGCTTCCAAAGAGGGCTGCGACTCTTTACCCATTCCACGTGCTCTTCTGCAATGGATGTCTGGTTGCTTCATCAAAAGGTCCACTCCATAGCCTTTTGCCATACATATTATCTTATTTTTTTTACATGTATCTTTTTTTTTAAAGTATTTGAGAGGTTGGTGTTGTTAACCCGGCAGTGGGTTAAGCTGCTGCTTGTGACACAAGCATCCCACATGGCTGCCAGTTCAAGTCCCAGCTGCTCCACTTCTAATCCAGCTCCCTGAAAATGTGCCTGGGAAAGCAGAGAAGATGGCCAGAGTGCTTAGGACCCTGTGGGACCATGTGGGAGACCCAGATGGAGTACCGGGCTGCTGGTTTCATCCTGGACCAGCTTTAGCCTTTGTGGCCATGTAGGAAGTGAACTGGCTGATGGAAGATCTCTCTGTCTCTCTCCCTCCCTGTAACCCTGCCTTTCAAATAAATAAATCTTCAAAAATTATTTGAAATGCAGAGAGAGAGAGAGAGAGAGAGAGAGAGAGAGAGAGAGAGAGAGAGAGAGAGATTGATTCCTAATGCCTGCAACAGCTGGGACAGAGCCAGGCCAAAGTCAGGAGCCTGGAAGTCAATCTGGGTCTCCCATGTGGACAACACAGACCCAAGTACTATAGCCATTACCCATGGCCACCCAGGGTATGCATTAGCAGGAAGCTGGAACTGGAAGTGGTGTCAGGACTTGAACCCGGGCACTCCAATGCGAGATGTGGGTGTCACAAGCAGCATCTGCATCGCCCGCCCTGGCCACGTTCTCCCCTTTGCTGACTTATTGCTTCTAGTCTCTCACTCCTCATTAGGATGTAAATCCCACAGGGGCAGCGGCTATTATCTGTGTTGGTCACCTCTGTGTGCGCCCAGCGCCCACGGGAGACGTTGGCATGGAGGAAGCTCAATGAGTGAATGAATGAACAAACAAGTGAGTGGTGAGACTCCAAAACAAAACCTGACCAAGCAGTGCATGACGAGGAGGGAAGTGGAAAAACGCGGCCCGAGATGAGCTGGCGGTGACAAGAATGCAAATGTGGTCAAACGCTGAATTCGACAACGATGAGGGCAGCATCCGAATCAAGAACTTGGAAGCCGGGCTAGGCTCACGTTAGCGCAGGCTTGAGCCTCTGCTAATCTGGAGGGCGAGTGTTCTGTCCTCAGGGCCTACTCCTGTGCACCCACTGTGTGAAGGAACTAGCCAGCCAAGTGTGAAGGATAAAAAGGAGACCAGTGGAGCCCTTGGCCTCAGGGAATGCAATGATCTGAGGAGGCAGAGGAGCTGGGGAAAGAAGTAGACACGAAAGCGCTGGGCAAAAGGCAAAGCAAGGACAGGTGCACGGCCGGCTCAGAGGAGGAGGGATTAGTCGGGGGCGGGGAGCAGGCAAGGCAAGGAACAAGGCAGGTAACGCAGAGGGAGGGGCACGCCTGGCAGAGGGACAGAAGTGACAAAGGCAGGGAGGCACAAGAGAGTGTGGCACTTCTGGAGACCAGAGGCAAGAACGAGGTGCAGAGAAATGAAGGCTAGAGTGGGGGACTTCTGCAAAGACCACCCCAGGACACAGGCTTTCCTAAGCCACCGGTGGGGAGGGTCGGCCGCAGTCCTGCGTGGCTGCAGCGCCAGGCCGGTAGGCAGAGGGTCTCTCAAAGCCATCCAGGGCCATTTCTGTAGCAGGCATCGAGTATCTCTCTCTTTGGAAATGTATATGGGTCGGGACTCACCAACCAAGTAATTAGACTCTTGGAGGAGGAAAAACTTTCTTGTTTGTTTTTCTTCCTGCTCGGGCAACTTAACAAGTAAGAGAGCGGTAATGATACCCCTCGCCTGCTTCACAAACGAGCTGGAGAGAATGGAGTGGGCAAAACGCAGTAAGATTCCACTCGCAGGGCAGCAGCGTCTGCCAGGGCTTTTGGGGCGCTGAGCACGTATGTGCACGCACGTGTGGGCGGGTGGGCGGACTTTCCAGGGAGGAGAAGAGAGCCAACCTAGGCCAGGCCCCAGGGAGGCCCCACTGACACACCCACAGAGGGTCTGTGCCAGTCCACCCCTCAGCCTACACAGATGCACCTTCTGCTGTCAAACCCCACGACAGGCAGCGGTGCTGACCCAGCCAGCCTCAAACCCGAGGCCTGGCACCCTCCCCTTTCCCCTGCCCGTCTTCTACACGGTGATCACCCCACAGCATCGTGTGACCCAGGCGGCAGCTTCAGAGGAAGGGGCCTGGGACGCTCTGGGATAAATCCGTCCCCATTGCCAGCCCTGGAAGTGGGTTATGTGATGACAGGAAAATGCCACCCTAGAATCCATAATCCACGTGGCCTCAGTAGGCCACGTGCTCAGCCTTCCCTCTGTGCCGTGTGTCCCGGATGAGGGATTTCTGGAGGGCTGACCCAGAAGGAAACTCAGGCACGTGGTGGTAGCCAGGCTCCATCTCCCCAGCTTGGTGTCTCCCTGTGCGGAGGAGTATTTTAGGTGGCTCCCAGGGGAGCACCAGGGCACGGGGCCTTTCAAGATGCCAGTGCCAACAGCTGGGCTTGGCTAGAGGCAGGGGCTGGAGGCTCCCTTTAGGCTGCTCTTGGAGGGGGTGGAAGAAAAGTGGCAGGCCGAAACGATGGGGGCTTTTCCATCTGGGCCACGGAAGAAGTGACTGCTTCACCGCCGCTCCTCTGGCACCATTTGCACGGAATGCAAAAAGCACGCACGTACACATAAAGGGACTTAAAACAATTCATGGAGGGCCGGCGCCGCGGCTCACTAGGCTAATCCTCCGCCTAGCGGCGCCGGCACACCGGGTTCTAGTCCCGGTCGGGGCGCCGGATTCTGTCCCGGTTGCCCCTCTTCCAGGCCAGCCCTCTGCTGTGGCCAGGGAGTGCAGTGGAGGATGGCCCAGGTGCTTGGGCCCTGCACCCCATGGGAGACCAGGAAAAGCACCTGGCTCCTGGCTCCTGCCATCGGATCAGCGCGGTGCGCCGGCCGCAGCGCGCCGGCCGCGGCGGGCCATTGGAGGGTGAACCCAACGGCAAAGGAAGACCTTTCTCTCTGTCTCTCTCTCTCACTGTCCACTCTGCCTGTCCAAAAATAAAGAAAGAAAAAAACAATTCATGGAAAATGGAAACCAGAGGTTAGTTTGGGGCCAGCGTTATGACACAGCAGGTTAAGCAGCTGCTTGTTGCCAGTATCCTGTGAGTCCCAGCTGCTCTGCACCCAATCCATCTCCCTGCTAAAGTACCTGAAAAAGCAGTGGGAGATGGCACAAGTACTTGGGGCCCTGCCACCAATACGGGAGACCTAGATGGAATATCAGGCTCCTGGCATTGGCTTGACCCAGCTCTGACCGTTGCAGCAGTTGTAAGTTGGGGGCCAGCATTGTAGCACAGCAGGTTAAACTGCCACTTGTAATGCCAGCATCCCATACTGGAGCCCTGGTTTGAGTCCCGGCTGCTCTGCTTCTGATCCTGCTCCCTGCTAATGGGTCCAGGAAGGCAGTGGAAGATGCTCCAAGGACTTGGACCCCTGCCCACAGGGAAGACCAGGATGGAGTTCCTGACTTCTGGCTTTAGCCTGGCCCATACCTGGCTGGTGTGGCCATTAGGGGAGTACACCTGCAGATGGAAGATCTCTCTCTGCTTCTCCCTCCTTCTCTATTGCTCTGCCGTTCAAATAAATAAGTACCTCTTTAAAAATAAAAGAATACAAGATAAGTCTATTTTGGTGCAAAAAAAGTTGAAATCCATGCATATGAGGACTCTTCACAAAGTTCATGGAAAAATGTGTGTTCCAGAAAGACTATGCATGGATTTCAACATTTTTTGTTTTTGTTTTTTTTTCGGGGGGGGGAGGGGTCAAAACAAGCTTATCCTTCAGCAAACTTTTTGAAAGAACTTCATATCCTAAAAACCTCCCAGGCAGCCCCACGGCCTGGCTCCCGTCCTCCGCCCTGGGCCTCGAA